TTTATATATTTGGGTGCTCCCGTATTGGGTGCATATATATTAACCAGGGTTATTTCTTCTTGTTGGATTGCTCCCTTTAGTATTATGAAGTAGTCTTCATTATCTCTTGTTATGTCCTTCACTCTGAGATCTAATTTGTCAGATATAGGTATTGCTACCCCAGTTTTTTTTTTTCATTTCCATTCGCATGGAAAACCTTTTTCCATCCCTTCACCCTCAGTCTGTGTGCATCTTTTTTTCTGAGGTGGGTTTCTTGTAGACAACAGATATATGGGTCTTGTTTTCTTATCCAATCTGTTACCCTATGTTTTTTATTGGAACATTTAGTCCATTTACATTTAAAGTTATTATTGATAGATACTTATTTGACGCCATTTTTATTCTATACCCGTGTTTCTTCTTTGCTTTCTATTTCTTTAATTTTACAGTAGACCCTTTAGCATTTCTTGCATTGCTGGTTTGGTGGAGATAAATACCCTTAGTCTGTTTTTGTCTGTGAAGCTCCTGATTTCACCTTCACTTTTGATTGATACCCTTGCTGGGTACAGTATTCTTGGATTCAGACCCTTCCTTTGCATGTCTTTGTATATTTCATCCCATTCCCTTCTGGCCTGATAAGTTTCTGTGGAGAAATCAGTTGCTAGTCTGATGGGGGTTCATTTGTATGTAACTTTCTGTCTCTCTCTGGATGCTTTTAAAATTCTTTTTTTGCCGTAGGCGTTTGCCAGCTTAATTATAATGTGTCTAGGGGTCAGTTTTCTGGGGTCCGTTTTGCTTGGGACTCTGTGAGCATCTTGGATTTGTGTGGGTTTTTTCTTGTCTATCTCAGGAAAGTTTTCTGTCATTATTTCTTGAAATACATTTTCCATGTCTTCCTCAATTCCCTTTTCTTCTGGAACCCCTATTACTCTAATATTGTTTTGTTTTGTATTGTCTCAAAGTTCCCTTAGACTTTCCTCCTGTTTTTTAATTTTTTTTTCCCCCAGAAGCTGTTCTAATTGGGTATTTTTTTCCATCTTGTCTTCTAGCTCGCTGATGCGGTCCTCTGCTTCTTCTAATCTACTCTTGATGCTTTCTATTGAGTTCTTTACAGTAGCGATGTCATTTTTCATTTCTTCTTGGTTCTTCTTCATTTCCTCTTGGTTCTTACTCATATTGTCAAATTTGTCTTCCATTCGTTTTAGCCATCTTATGATCATTACTCTGAATTCTTGCTCTGGTAGGTTGCTTGCCTCTATCTCGTTTACTTCCTTTTCTGGTGAAGCCTGCTTTTCTTTTATATGCGGGCTGTTTTTTGGTCTCCCCATGATCTAAGATGTCTGGTTGTGTAGTTTTCTCTCTCCTGCTTTGATTTAAAGGCACAAAATACGACACAACCAGGTACAACACACAAGGGACTGAATGGAGATGTGTTTGCGATATTAATAACCACCAATAAAGGTGACTAGAACCCAGCTAACAAAAACATACAATCAAACAAAAAGCATAGGCAAATCAATCTATTTAAAAAAGCATACAGCTTCAGTATAGTTAACATTCAACATACAACTTCAAAGAGTTAGAGAGAAAGACTTTTGTTTTGTTTTGTTTTTAGGACAACTGCGAGGGAGGTGTGAATGGGCTCAGAGCAAGTAGTTGGAAATTAGATATATACAAGTAGGGTGAAATTTTAGGAGGGGGTAGATAGAAGGAATGGGGAAAATCTAGAGCAGGAAAGGGTTAAGATAAACAGGGTACCAAAGGAAAAGATCGGAAAGAGAATGAAGGCCTAAAGGTAAGGTTGAGAAAGAATAAAGTGTTGGAGAAGGAAAGATAGATAAAGACTGTAGAACAGTAATCCTGAAATTATATATATATATATATATATATATATATATATATATTCAAATGAAATAAAAATAATAAAAATAAACAAAATAAAATAAGATGAAAAAGGTAACTTAGTAGTAGTAATAATGTTGATTACGTATACAATGTAATAATTATAAAGATAAATCAAGTGAGGAAAAAGAAAAAAAATAGTTTCTTGAGTAAATGTTGCAAATAATGAAAACAAAAATGAAAAACAAAAATTTAAAAATTTAAAAATAAATAAAATTTAAAAATTTAAATAAAATTTGCAGTAATGAAGGTCATTCGCTTCCTCTATTGTTATGATCCAGTCCTGATTTTTAGGCAGGTTTTGCTTTGTTTTTATTACACTAGAGTCAATTTGTGAATTAGCCTCTGGGGGCAGTGTTTCTAGGTTGACTTCCCAGACTCTAGAGCCTCTCTAGCTATTTTTTTTTCCTTCTGTCCTCTCTGGAGCAGGAACTACGGAGTGGGGGAGGGGGCAGGTCCAAGCAACTGCAATCTTCTGCAACTCTCTGATACCCCTCCGCACCTGATCCAAATGTGTTGCTCTTTAGATATTTTCCGTTAGGAGCCCTGTCCACTTTCACGGGTGACACCCGCCCAACAGCTGGGGCTTCTACTTGTAATCACCGCTCTTGTCCTCCAGCTTCTGCGTGCTCTGAGCGCGCAGGCTTTGTTTTCGCCACGAGTGCTCTCCACCCTCTCCCTGCGAAATCTGACCTTTTCGCTGAGCAGTGGGGCACTCCTGTGAGGCCAGGTGTTTGGGCAGCCTGGGATCAGCGTTCTGGGGGTCACAGTTGCTTGCTGGTCGCTGCGGCTGTTGATATTCAGGCCTCTGACAAGATCCTATCTTCCTCTCAAGATGGCGAGGTTTCCCTATCCAAGCTGGTAGGTAGCTTTGGGCAGGGTCATAGCCCGCGTGGGTGCTTCCCTGTGAGGGGTACCTCTGTCAGCGGCCCCCCAGCAGTTTCTTCTGGTGTTCGCTGTCTCCCAGCTTGCTAATAAACACTCATAGCTCAAGACCATCAGTTTCTCTCTCTTTCTGCTTCGGGAGAGGGCTCAGAATCCGCCCATCTATTCTTCCGCCATCTTCCCAACCTCTTCTTTTTCCTTCTTATCTGTGCTCAGTTATCCTTCAATATTTCTTTTCATTTTTATCTCTCTTTCTACAATTTCCTCAGTTGATACCCATAGACATTTTATACTCCATTCTGTCATTTAGCTCCTTTGAGACATTTAAGTCATACAAACAAATGACTACGTAGTCCAGTAGAAATCTCCTAAGCCACTTTGTAAAATTCTGTACACTATCATTGTGATGTTTCAGATTGGGAACTATTTCTTCCAATTTATTTCAGATGAATATATTCTTTTTAATCACATGTATTAAAAGTATATACATGCTGTTTATGGATTTCAGAGTATGTGTAATTTAACTATTTTTAGATATTTACATTTCTCTCTGAATTGATATTTTCAGTTTTCTAATTTCTAGAAATACCATGTTTCAAAAATTAAAAAATTACAACTATAAAATGTTTTTATGTGCTAGAGTTTTATAGTTAAATAGATGCATTCTTCTTTCATGAAAATGACTTCATTTTAGTTTATTAATAACTTGACATTATAAAAGAAGCCATAGAACTAATTTTTTTAAATTCCTATCATATGAAGTATATATCCATCTTTAGTTGATTATGTGGCATTCTACAACATGACAATTCTGATTTTCATGCTTTTAGTTTTGGAAATACAACAGAAATATGCTAAATATGCTAAAATCCCATAAGGTGGAAATATTTCCTTATAAAAGCAGGCTTCACCTCAGCTGCAAAATAAAATGCTTCCCCTTTCCTCCATTTCATTTCAGTTCAATAAATAGTTAGTGAACAGATAATATGTGGAGATTCAGAAATAGATAAAATGAAGTTTATACTTTTGTAATACTTCTAGCAGAACTTATAATCAGATGGAGGAGACAGACCTATAAACTAATTTTAATATAGTGTGATAAATGCTATAATAGAAGTTTTTTCATGGTGCTATGAGAGCATACACAAGGAGCAGTGAGCCTTGACTAGAGATCAAACATAGCTTCTTTTAGAAAACTAGAAGCCCAGTGCACAAATTCATGCACTGGTGGGTTTCCTCAGGATGGCCTGTGGGGATCAGGCCAAAACCCACAGTCCAACACTGCCTGCAGCTTATCTGCCACTCCTGCTCAACCCAGTTCCACTACACCTGCTGCAGGCTTTCGCCCAATCAATCCAGATTGGGAGAGGATCGCATCGCCACAGCAGCACTCAACAGATGTGAGCCCTTCATCTGGCTCCCTTCCAAGGGGAGTTGCCTGTGGGATCTGGTTGAAACCAGCTCTCGGACATCCCCTGAGGGGTCCTGGATTGTGAGACGGCAAAGCCCAGGGACCCCACCAGTGCACAGTCATGGCTGGGGAGGGACCATAGGAAGGATCTAGGGCATATACAGCCCATCTCTCAGTCCTAATCAGTTGGACCACAGCAGCAAGCTAACCTACTAGTCAGAGCATCTGCCCCCTGGTGGTCAGTGCACGTCATAGCAATAGGTTGAGCAATCTTAGCATATCATTAGCATATTATGCTTTGAATGGTTGAACAGTCGATCAGTCACCAAATGCTAATACTTAGCATATTAGGCTTTTATTATGTAGGATAATTCCTGAGGTAAATTTTGAAGGATAAGAGTTAAGCAAGGGAAAAGGAGCAGAAAGAAAAGCATAAATATAGGAGAGTAAGGCCATGTAGTTTTCTAGAATATTTGAACAAAGCAAACATGAAAATAGGCCATGAAACTAATTTTTAAATTTGTCATATAAAGTATATATCTATCTTTAGTTGATATTTAATAAAACTGAATACTTTCTTTTGTGGAATAATCCTTAAAAGAATATTTTAATCTATTGTAGTATTTGAATTGTTATGCACTATATGGATCTTTGTTCAACATTTGAATGTATTTTTCCATACATTTTAATGCATCATTTTAAGAGAATAGACCTACATATTTTCTAAATTTATTGAATTAGAAAAAATTCTGAATGGCAGCAATTAATATTTTTATTTAAGTCTCTTTGTAACTATTGGTTATTCTCATTTCATCTTTTGTAGAGTTCCTATACCTCAGCCAGAAACTTCTCCACAAACAAGAGAAAATATACCAGACATGCCATGCATCTTCCAATGTATGTTGCTTTATTGTTAGTAGTATTAATGAAATACTTATGGCACACTATTATATAAAGATCACTGTTTAATTCTGCATTTTTGTGTCATGACTGCCACTAACATAATAAAAGTATTCTAAAAACGTTTATAGCTAGTCACTTTTGTTGCTGGTTTTCATTTATACTAGCATAGGTCCTTGTCAAAAATACTGGTCCCAATTTAGAACAATATCGCGGTATCACCAAAGTAAAAGTAAATATAAACAAACTTATACTTATCAATTTGCTTCTTTAGTAGCATATCTCTTCAAATGTACTATTTTTAATTATTAGAATAATAAGTAGAAATTTTAATTTTACATAAATACAGCTAAAGCTTAAAATATTGCTATAGTTTCTTTCTTAGTTATTGGGTTGACTTTTGAATTTTGGGTTCATTTCTGAAGTAATTTAGTAAAGTAATTTATTTCTGGAAAGGTATCCTTAGAGTGATTTATTTTTAGTCAGATTTTATATGGGGCCATCTTTCTGGACTAGACTTTTTATCATTTTATGTCCTTCTTGCATTTTGAATCATTCTTATTTTGGGATTGACCTGTAGTCTTTCTGGCAGATTAAGAATGCACAAAAGATATGCATAGCCAATGAACACATACAATAGTGTGGTGATGGCTAGAGGTGGAGGGATGAGAGTTGGGTGGAAATGAGTAAAGATGGGGAACAAGAAGGAGACATCTGTAATGATATCAACAATACAAAAAGAATGCACAAATGTATTTGAAGTATGTACCCTGCAATAAACATAGAAAATAAAGGGGAAATCGTAATAATATAAATATGTAATCAAGCCTCAAACAATAATGAAAAACACCTCTGTGCCAGAAACAAAGAAATTTAAAATTAGTAGTGAGTAGGAACTAAAACTAAAACTGCTAATCGGCATTTCAAAACTAGATAAATGCCTAAACAATTATAGATTGAAGTATAATAACAACATGGAAAGGCAAGTCCAGTAGTTTATGTGAAGTAGAACTAAAATAAAGTTGGAAGTTTGTGGATGACCAATGAAATTATACCCTTTAATGTGGGAAAGTATTAAAAAGCTACCTGTATCCTCTGGCCAATGGGTGGGAAAAATTTGGAATCCCAGGACTCTGCAGTAATGGAAGTATGGTCATAGTTCAGATGACTGAAATGGTGAAGAAAATGTGCTAAAAAATTAACCTTAATATCTAATCCAAAATCAATGAAACCCAAAGGTGAGTGTGAAACTGTCTTAAAGAGAAGCTTTTTATAACCTACTAGAGGCCCAATGTAGAGATTCATGAACCGGTGTGTTCCCTCAGCCTGGCCTGTGCGGATTGGGCTGAAACTGGCTCTCTGACATCCCTCGAGGGGTCCCGGGTTGCGAGAGGGTGCAGGCCAGGCCAAAGGACCCTACTGGTGCACAATCAGGGTTGGGGAGGGACCACATGAGGACTCCAGGGTGTGTCCAACCCGTCTTACCAAATCCCAATTGGTCAGTCCCAACAGCAAGCTAACATACTAATGGAAGTATCTGCCCCCTGGTAGTCAGTACAGGTCACAATGACTGGTCGAACTGTTGGACACTTAGCGTATTAGGCTTTTATTATATAAGATAGCATTTGGGATTCATTTGGAAAGCATCTATAGAAAATAAATTCATAGTTCAAAAAATTACAGACTTCCCGAGGAAATGAACTACTTTGAGACAATGTGATTAGATGTAATATGTGGAAATTTTTATACCCCAAAAACTAGAAATACTAGATTAATCAGAAAGGGACTTTAAATAAATATAAATCATAAATCAGGAATAGCTCAATATGAAAAAGAACTGGCATATTGGAATCCCAAGACAACTATATATATAACTAGAGTCCTGGTGTACGAATTCATGCACCAGTGGGGTCCCTCGGCCTGGCTTGGGGGATTGGGCTGAAACTGGCTCTCTAATATCCTCTAAGCAGTCCCAGATTGCAAGAGAGTGCAGGCCATGCCGGCACCGGTTTGGCTCAGTGGATAGAGCGTCGGCCTGCGGACTGAAAGGTCACAGGTTCGATTCCGGTCAAGGGCATGTACCTTGGTTGCGGGCACATCCCCATAGGGGTGTGCAAGAGGCGCTGGTCGATGATTCTCTCTCATCGATGTTTCTCTCTATCCCTCTCTCTTCCCCTCTGTGAAAAGTCAATAAACTATATTTAAAAAAAAAAAAAAAGAGTGCAGGCCAGTCTGAGGAACCCCACCAGTGCACCATCAGAGCCAGGGAGGTATGTGGGAGGTTAGCCAGCCAGCAAGGGACTGCAAGAGTACTCCAGGGCATGTCTGGCCCATATCACTCAGTCCCAATTGGCTGGACTCCAGCAGCAAGATAACCTACTGGTTGGAGCGTCTGTCCCCTGATGGTCAGTGCATGTCACAGCAATTGCTCAACTGGTCAACTTTCTTGCCCCTGATGGGCAGTGCACATCATAGCAAGAGTTGAGTGGACTTAGCATATAATTAGCATATCATGCTTTGATTGGTTGAACAGCCACCTGGAGACTTAGCATATTAGGCTTTTATTATATAGGATGGGTTGAAGAGTAACTAAATGCAGATGAAAAGATAATTGATGCATTTGGAAGATAGATACAGAGGAAATCATACAAGAGATTGGGAAGGTAAGAGAGAAGTTGAGAGACCTAGTGCATAGGGTGAGAAGGTCCAATTTATATCAAATAAAATTTCCAGGAGGACAGAATATGGATAATCAGGAAGAAGCAATATTTGGAGAGGTACTTTTTCAAAATTAAAGATATATATGAATCATTAGATTGAAGGTCACAGTGAATCCTGAGCAGAAATATTAAATAAATCTATACCCAAACATATCATGGTAAAGTGCAAAGAATTAAAAATATTAAATATCTTAGAAACTATCAGAAAAAAAACTAGATATTTTTTTCAAATGAAATATAATTAGATTGGAAGATTTCTTATCAGCAATAATAGATGCCTTAGACAATAGAATAATGACTTCATTTTTTAAAAGGAAGTATTTTCCAACCTAGAATTCTATATTTAACTAAAACTGTAAAAGTGAGGGTAAAATAAATATATTTTTAGATATTCTAAGACTGAGATTTTACTCATAGAGTCTCAATGAATTAGTAACTTAAAAAAAATTCTAAAAGGAATAAAATGAAACAAAAAATGAAGTAGCAGAATTCAAGAAGAAATGGTGAGCAAAGATTGTTTGGTTGATCACACTGTAAGGTATAAAAATGTCAAGTCACTATGCTGTACACCTGAAATTAACACAACCAATGTAAGATTGTATCCCAGCTATCCTTAAATTAAAAAGTATATTTTAATAAAAATGGATACATGCAAAAAACAAGAATTTCATGAAATATTGATAAATATAAATAAACATGGGCAGTAAAATTATGGTAATAGAAGAAGGGGAAGATGGCTATGGACAGGAAGGCAGACTGCAATATAGTGCATGAGTGAGAGAATGAAAGGAGAGTATGTGGTTGCACTGGAAGTGCTTATTTGTGAGTTGAGGGACAGCTATACTCCAAGGGACTGTTGGGGATTGCCAGACAGGGTTCCCCTGACCTGGCAGCCTCCCCTGCTGCTGAAATCCTTCCTGGAACAACCGGCTCTGACACAGAGACTGTGCCATCTTGAAGGGAAGAGTGACTGTTATCAGATGTCTAAAAATCCCAGTAATCTACAATAACAACACCCAGGGAACAGCTGCAAACCCAGGAACACTGGACCCCAAACAGCTCGAATACGCAGATGTGGAGGAGCTCTGCACCTTCTCATGGAAAGGTCAGATTTCACCTTAGAAAACATCAGGTCTGTAATACAGGCAGGAGAGAGAAAAAGCGCACAATAGGAACTAGAGGATCTGTGGAAGTCTGTGCCCAAAAAAATCCGTGGCCATTGGGACTGGCATGATCTGCAAATGTGGAAGGGGATCCACAGGGCTGCTAACAGAAGGGAACTCTAAACAACCCAAAGCTGAACTGGGCTCAAAAGTGCAGCCTAAAAATTTTAACAGTGTGCCAACTGCTTAGAGCCAGGGGTGGGGGAAAGATTACACAGACTTGCATGCAGCTCCAGAGGATAAAAGTTGTAAGTTCGCACACTTATTCTGGTTCATTTTCTTTTTTTTTTCTCTTTAAATCCTTGCTTTTGATTACTAAACCCAGGACATAGGATCACCAATTGGAGACACTTTAAGAGACTGCAGGGCAAAGTTGTTTTTCTGGAACCTGGGGATCAGAGTGGGGAATAATGATCAGAGAACCAGCTCTGGGGCAGCCCATTCCCCAAAATCAGTATTAAGTGTGACAGGGAAAACAAAATCTAAGCACTAGCTAGAGAGGACTTATAGACCTAAAGGTCAATTGAAAAACACTGTCACCCAGGGGTTGAATCACAAATTGACTTTTGTGTAAACACAAAGGAGTATAAGAAACAAAGAAGTACTGCCTGCTTGAAAATCAGAACTGTGGCTTAAAACACTGAGGAGTAGTGGAATACAGGAAACTTTAATACTGTCCTGATTGGGAAACAGGCATGCCAAACAGAACAGTAGAGGAAGTGAATGACCTTCACTATCGGACATTTTTATTTATTTTTATCTTTTACTAAGAAACTGTTTTCTTTTTCCCTCACTTGATTTTACCTTTTTAATTATTACATTTTTATTTTTAACCAGTATTATTACTACTACTATTTTACCCCTTTTTTAGTGACATTTTATTTTCTCTTTGTTTTATTTGGGATTAGTGTCCTACATTCTATTGTCATCTTTCCTTTACTATCATTTTACTCTATCTCAACTTTACCTTTATGCTATCAGTCTCTTCCTATCTTTTCCCCTATTGTTGTCCTGTTTCGTTTACCCTATTCCTGCCTTAGATTTTCCCTATTCCTTCTTTTTACCCCCTGTTATAAATTCATCCTACTTATATATCTAATTTCCAGTCCTCTGCTATA